TCCGCGTAATTATGCCATACCCTCGGTGGTGTCAGAATGTAAGTAATAAAATTAGGTGGTATATATGAATTTTTAGAGAGAATGTAGAAAGGAACTAAAAGTATTAGTATATTTGCTGGTTACTTGGATAGAAATTGAATTAGTAAGAATTGCACACTGAATAACCCTCTTTTTTTTTAAAGTTAGAGAAATTGAATTATAACGACAGCATATGGTTTATGATGAATTACGATTTCCCTGAGATACAATGAAATGTATAATTGCCTAAAATATCTTGCTTATCTAAAGAGGCGACTTTTCTAGCTAACGGGTGATCATGAAAACTCATTAGGGAATGAGAGATATGGAAAGAAATGAATAGTATGTGAGTTCTCCTCGATTTGCATTAGTTTATCTCTTGACCTCTTTTCACTCTATTCTATGTCGACCATTAAATGCGGGTCATGGATGCTAGTAACATCTTCCTAACTCTAAAGTCGCACAAAAGAATGCATCAAACATGAACTCTTCTTATTTATTGAGCATTTTAACATTGCATATATAGAAGACAAATTTTCATTATTAGTCAAAAGATTCAACGATGAGTTTGTTTTGCTTGTTTCATTGCGCTGGTCAATTTGATCAAGTCCATTAACAAAAAGAGGAGGTTTCGTCGTAAATCAAACCGGAGCCAAAAGATATTACAATTTAGACTAGAATTTTAATAATACGAACAAAGATTCGTGAGCATAAAATGAGACTACAGAAACCTCGGCGACGGTGATACCAGATACGTACGTTGACCAACCTTTATCTAGAAAGAGATGAACAAACGGGGCTTGAACTTAAAAATAAAAAAAATAAAAAAAAAAGACCTCATCTGGCTTATTAGTATAATCACAACTATTGAGTTCAAAAGAGGAATGAAAGAATGATATTGGATCTATCGTCAATCTTGATATAGGCATTACTATTCTTTATGGCCCCGTTTGTCAAAGGGTTAAGGAAGAGGAGTTAAAGAGAATGATTGATGTACTTAGCCCATTCGATAATCTGAGGACTAAATTATTAACCCGTTAAATAAGTTTTATTTTAGCCATTGTGATCAGTTTTAGTGTTTGAGAATAACAATGATTTTGACTATTTTTTTTATAATTAGAAGGGTTAGCTCTTAATCCTTCTAAATAGGAGTATTAGTAAACCCCTCATTTTGAGGGGTTAACTCATTTTAATCCCTCCAGAGGGGTTAGCTTAACCCTTCTATATTTTTTATGTTTGGAAAATTATGGAGGGTTAACTCATTTTAACCATTGTATAGACTTTTTATGTTTGGCGAGTTAAGAAGGGGTTAAGTCTCCTTATCTCCTTAACTCCTCGCTTAACCATTTACCTAACGGTACCTATAAGTATAGTTGTGACTATGTTGACAGTAACTGCATCTCATAAAGCAATGGTTGCTCAATGAGTATACTTATGCCTCTGCACTAAGACCATCTCCAACCCCGCGTCATTTTGACGCAAAACGGCATTTTGACGCGCTGAGAAGTCTCCAACCGGGCGTCATTTTGAGCGCTATTTTAGCGGTGATGAACAGCGCGATATCCTCCAGGAACTTCCCGTCAAAAAGTGGGAAACAGTTTAGACTCATATACCTATTGGAGTATCAGAGAACAGTTTAACCTCTTATACCGGTCGGAGGAATGAGAAACAGTTTATACTCGTATACTCTTTGGAGTCTTGCGGTGATGAACAGCGCGACGCCATATTTGGCGTCGCACTGTTCATCACCGCATTACTGTTCATTTTATTTATTTATTTTTAATTTTAGTTTTTTTAACCTTTATGTATTTACAATTTGATCTCGGTTGGTTTTATTAAATGTATAAAACAACTCTAAGAAACAGTTTATACTCGTATACTCTTTGGAGTCTTGAGGAACAGTTTATACTCTTGTACTCTTTGGAGTCTTGAGAAACAGTTTATACTCGTGTACTCTTTGGAGTATCGAGAAACAGTTTATACTCTTGTACTCTTTGGAGTAGTAAGAAGCAGTTTATACTCTTATACTTATCGGAGTGTTGAGAAGCAGTTTATACTCGTATACTCGTCGGAGTCATGAGAAGCAGTTTATACTCATATACTCTTCGGAGTGATGCCGTTTTCAATTGGCTTACCCTAGCGTTATAACGCCGGCTTCAACCAAGGTCTGGATGCTTCATTATAATTTTCCATTCATCTCTATCTTTTTTCATGGCTATCTTTTCTCGTTCGATATCAAATGCTTCTTGCCTGTCCAAGCTCGCCTTGTCTAACCTGTCTATAAGTCGATTGTTGGAGGTCTCGATGGAGTCCACTACACTTGACTCATGATCATCATTTTTCCTTTTCAATTTAGCTTTTTTTACCCCAATAGGTCGTTCAGATGGAGTAAATGATGACAGTCCAGGAGATGTTGATATAGGAGATTCCGGAGTGGGATTATCTGATTGTGACGAGTCGAAGTTCACACTTTGGGATTGTCTTCGACCAACTTGTCTTGCTGTGGGGACATCATCTTTGAATTTTTTGAAATTTTTAACCATATTCCAGACATGATCAAATTTGAAACCTTTTTTGTACTTCGGTTCTTGCATAAATAACATCTTTGCTCGAACTAACTGTAAATTATAGTGAACATCAAGTTATGTATTTCAACAATAATAATAAAATTCAAACGATAATTAATAGAATACTTACAATATCTTCATCTGAAGCACCACTTGGATTCAGATTCTCTACTTGTCTCAAGCACGCATTCAATTTCCTTACTTCATTACTTATAATTTCCATTCGAGAACGAATTGATCGGCTCGTACGCATCTCAAAATGCTGATCTCGAAGTTCATTGTATTTGTCCTCCACACGAGACCAAAATGCATCTTGAGACTGGTTTCTACCGATAATAGGGTCTTGAGAAATATCCAAGAATACTTGACAAAAGAGCACATCTTCAGTAACCGTGTATCCAGTTGATCGAACAGACATTTTTTTTTTGTAAAAAGCGGTTGGTTTGGAGATCAGAAATACTTTGAAGAAATACTTCGAATTGGGTGGTTTGAAGTAGAATTCGTGAATGTTATTTATAGCCAATCCAAATTTGTTTTTTTTTTGGAATTTGAATTTGTCGGTGGTCAACATTTGAAATTGAATCATTTTGTACAAACTAGTCAGCTTTACACATTATCCAACGTTGTCGGTGGGAATCAATTTTTGAAATCAAGTCAGCTTTACACATTGTCCAATGTATACACTAATTCAGATAGTTAAGAGCATATTAAATTTGTAATGTTTACATTGTTGTTAATGTTTAATTATTTTCTTACATTTTATTTTCTGTTGTGTTCTGTTTAATTATTTTCTTACATTTTATTTTCTGTTGTGTTCTTGAATGTAATATTTTGGCAATATTAATAATAGGTATATAATATTTTATTGTTTTATTAGTTTAATTTTTTAAATAATAAATCATTTTGTTTGGAAAATATGTGAAAAAATAAAATTTGATATGTGAGGTTAATTGTTGAAATAGTTAAAAATATAGGGAATAAAAAATAATCATATAAAAGTAGATAAAAAGAAAGATACTAAGAATATTCCTTTTTGGTGCAAAAAATGGTGCAATGGGTTGGAGATGAATTACTGTTAGATGTGACTTTTGCACCATTTTGGTGTAAAATTTGCACCATTTTGAGGCAAAGGGTTGGAGATGCCCTAAGGGTTGTTTGTTCGCGTGAAATTTGTTAAAAAGTAGATGCTACACCTATTACTTTCGAGTAAAAAAATATTTTTTTTTTGAAAATACTACCTCTAGCACTTCTTAAAATGCTAATGTGGCGCATACGTAACTGACATCTCTATTTTTTAGATTTTTTTATTCTTACTCCTAAAGGTTCCATAGTAAAGAGGAGAAGTAGGGGGAAAGTGGGGCCCATAGAGACTCCGAGAGATAGGTAATCCCAAATCAGAATTAATTAGATTATCTAATCGATATCTAGCCGCCACTTTCTCTCGCGGGAGTTCAAAACATTCCCTAAAAAAAATTCCTTACACCTTAGCAAAATTTCGCTAATATCTCAAACCGGAGAAACAACGTCCTTTCTTTCTTCTTCTTTTTCTTTTTAAAAAAAATTGTTTTTTTTAATTTTTATTGTAATAGCAGAAACAACACCTTTGTTAATTGTTGTTTTTTTTATTCTGTTTTTAGCGGTGATGTTCAGATCTGTCGAGTACAATTGGTCAATAAATAATCGAGCAACTCAAGATACTTGAATTAATACAAATATCTTCAGAGCCACTCACATAAGAGCGAGGGTTCTAATCATCCATGAATTGAATTGTCTCTACGTCTCCATAGAATCAATAATCAATTAACAAATAAGGTGGTCCTCGTGACAACATCTTACCTATTAACCTAAACATTATATTGGTAAGTAAGTTAAAAAAAATTCATTCTCTAAAATCATAAGGAGTATTTTCTTTAAATTTTTAGACCTTTGGCTTCCATAAAAGTTCGTCTAAGTTATGAAGTCATATAACTATTTGCTATACTATAGCAATACTCGGTTCGGGAGTCTGGGACCCTATTGCATTTTGACAAGTCATGTTGCTCTTTTGCTCTTCTCCATTACGAATACATCATACCGTACTAGCTACTAAGTTTAATTAATTAATTTTAAAAAAAAATTGGGTGGGTTTATTTTGTCAGTTATTATTCTTGAAGCATTGCTAGATTGCAAAGTTTTCTCTTGTATAGATGTTGCTACGGTAGAATATTAACGTTACGCACAAAACCAAAGCAGCAAATAAATTTTGATTGGAATAGTCACCTCAATACGCTTTGAATATTCCCGGTCAGAAGAAACCATCCAAAGATTATTATTTTTCTTGGTGCATGACTATTCAGAAAAAACAAACTCTAGTAAATATCTACACTCATCATTTATTACTCCCGGACCAGTAATGGTCACGATCCATCCTTAAAATTCCAACAACCCACCATTTATTACTCCCGCAATAATTGATCCAAATCAAAAACAACAACCACGCGAACAACAAAATACTGCAAAAAACATATCGCAACGAAAATGGCAATTGGATTATTTACCAAGGACTCCACTGCTACAACTCACTACAATGGAAAACTAACTTCTTTTGTGATCATCTCCTGCCTAATGGCTGCCGTCGGCGGCGTCATTTTCGGATACGATCTTGGCATTTCAGGTTCATACTACACTCTTCATATGGGAAGAAGGAAAAAAAAAAAATACCCGCACATCAAACTAGTACTAATATTATTTTTCGTTAACTTTAGGGGGCGTGACATCTATGGAACCATTCTTGAATAAGTTTTTCCCGGAGGTTTATAAGAAGATGAAACAGTCTGAAGTGAGCAACTACTGCAAGTTTGACAGTCAGTCGCTGACGTGGTTTACTTCGTCGCTGTATTTGGCTGGACTTGTTGCTTCAATTTTTGCATCGCCGCTGACGAGGAATTTTGGGAGGAAGGCGTCTATGGTGGTCGGAGGGGTGGCGTTTGTGGCAGGGGGAGTAATAGGAGGGGCTGCGGTTAATGTGTATATGCTTATTTTGGGTCGGCTTTTGCTTGGTGCTGGTCTTGGATTTGCTAATCAGGTAAAATATTTTTGGCTGACATAAACACAAATTCACAGAATAATGACAGTTAATATAACACAAAATTAACGAGTATCGGGAGTAATTTCTATGTTGCAGAATAGCAGCAGATAGTCTTCTTAAATAGGAATGAGAGAAGACGGTTAGATCTGAAGGGATCTACAAGTTTAGCTCTCTTTTTACCTGAAATCCTCATTCTGTTTCCAGGCAATTCCATTGTACCTGGCAGAAATGGCTCCCCCTCAATACAGAGGCACGATCAACAACGGCTTCACAACCTGCATCAGCATCGGATACATCTCAGCCACCCTCGTCAACTTCGGTACTGAGAAAATCCACAGCAACCTCAGCTGGAGAATCTCACTGTCCTTAGCCTCAGTTCCTGCAGCATTACTAACAATCTCAGCCATTTTCCTCCCCGATACCCCCAACAGTCTAATCCAACGAGGCTCAAACCTCCCAAAAGCAACCACAGTACTTCAAAAGATCAGAGGAACTACAGACGTCGATAAAGAGTTACAAGACCTTGTAACAGCTAGCAACATATCGAAAACCATCAAACACCCACTTCGTCATATTACTCAAAGAAAATATCGCCCTCACTTGGTAATGTCTATACTCATCCCGTTCTTTCAGCAGGTAACGGGTATCAATGTGGTAACATTTTATGCTCCAGTGTTGTTCCTAAGTATCGGTCTTAAAGAACGTGCTTCTTTAATGTCAGCAGTTATGACGGGCGTTATAGGACTTGGTTCTAATTTCGTATCTATGGCAGTGATCGATAAATTTGGAAGGAGGACCCTGTTCATGATAGGAGGAGTTCAAATGTTTCTCTCTCAAATGACAATAGGAGCAATATTGGAAGCAGAACTCAAAGATCAGGGTGAAGTTAGAAAAGCTTATGCATATATAGTCTTGGTATTGATTGGTGTTTATGCTGCAGGATTCGGGTGGTCCTGGGGACCTTTAGGCTGGTTAGTACCAAGTGAGATCTTTCCTTTAGAGATACGATCAGCAGGGCAGAGTATTAACCTGATTGTGAGCTTTGGATTCATCTTCATCATCGGTCAGAGCTTTCTTGCGATGCTCTGTAGATTCAAGTATGGGATCTTCTACTTTTTCGGTGGGTGGGTTTTTGTGATGACTATGTTTGTTTACTTATTCTTGCCGGAGACTGCGAACATGCCTATTGAACAGATGGTAAAGATTTGGGGAAAGCATTGGTTCTGGAAGAGGTTTGTTGAGGATGGAGACATTGGAGACAAAAGCAAAGGGGATGTGTTGAATGCAGCAAATTCTTGATGGCAAGGACTTCAAAGTGTTTTTGATGAGAAATTTGCTTCTTTGTATGAATGATTGTTTACTGGAGCATTTGGAAATGGCAAGGGAGGAAATGTAACTTGAGAAGAAGAATACATCCAATATAGGGAATGCTGAGCCTAAAGTAAGATCAGCCCTTCAACATTTAACTGACAGTTCTCTCAAACCTTTAACATATTGTATTAACCTATTAAGCCCTTACAGTTCTCCGAAAAATGTTTTTGGCCATGTTTAGGCTGGAGAATCACCATAGGAACTCAACAGAAAAGAAATAATAGTAAGGAGTTAACGGGTTAAAATATTAGATTAAAGACTTCTTAGAAAATATCAGGTTAATTTTAGGGGCTGATTTGACTCTGAGTTCATGGAATACCTATAACATCAATGCATATAATAATGTACAGTAATGAGCTGAGGAAGCTTCAGTGCAAGGAATTACGTAACTTAGCAATCAAAGACTGTAAACAAAAAGGATTTGCACCAAGTACACTATCATGACTTCAACATGAGACGCTAAAAAGTAAGATGTATAAATTAAAAGAAAACATCATCTCCTTTAGACATAATAATATGACATATGTGGGATGACTAGCAACTATGACGGTTTATTCTTAGCTGACTCAAAAACAAAATTAAAAAGTTGATAACTTCACCTGGATATAGGCATCTACAAAGTTGAGCATCAGGGGTAACATAAATGAAATTGTAAGGCATTTATGTCGGGAATGAAAAAAGAGACACTGAACCTAAAATACCAAACGAGAACTGAAACAGTTCACTGAAAAAAACAGTAAATTAGTCTTATTCTGAAGAAAAATCCAATAAGTCATCGTCACATCTATATAAGCAGGTTTGCAGTTAATAAACCACCGACGTAAATACCAACTAGAAAGACTGAAGCAAACTAAAGTCAGGTAAGTTTTCATTTACTTCGTCTTGTATCACTATCATTGTTTCAGACCTCTTTTTGGAAAACTAAGTTGCATGGATGGGAGCGGGGCTTGAGCTTGAATTAATCTCTGAACTGTTTGCCTCTGGATTATTGGTACGGAAAGCAGAATGCCTGTCAGAGCCTCCAAGCGGATTAATCGGCATTGAAGAAGAACTCATTCTGCCAACTTCTTCACCAAGGCTCAGGTTCGAGATGCCAACAATGTCATTCACATTAATGGGTGCCTTATAATGTACTGCAGTGGGTTTAACAATAGAATGCACCTTATCAACCGTCGCATCTGCTTGATAGCATGGCCAGAAAGGGTACGAAAATGGAAAATACGGATAAGGCCACATCACTGTACAAGGAAACTGCGTAGTTTCTGGCTTGGGAGGTTGAGGAGAAGGAACCAGATCGATTGAATTGGGATTAATTGGTTCATGTTCTACTCCCAAAGGTGAAGGTGTTGATATTGGATTGCTGCTTTGTCCCTTGGTCTCTTGAATGCCCACAGGGAAGGTCTGAGCGTTGCCAAACTGGGAACAGAAAGCGGCGGTTAGTGTTATTAACGGGTTGAAGTTTACAGAAATATTGTAAAAGAGATGAACCACCTCAGGCACCATATCAAAGAGACTGGATCTTCTCTTTCTTCGATTTCTATTGTCCTGGCGGACAAAATACTTTTGGGCATGGCTGGCAACCTGAGTGGGTGTCCTTGTGATCACAAACTTCCGTGAGATGCCGCGCCAGTCACCTTTGCCTAGTTTCTGAAGCCCAAGTAAAAACCTCTTGTGTTCTTCTTCTGTCCATGGCACACCTACATTTAACAGGATAAAAAGTTTGAGAAAGATTGGGAATGTAAATTTACTTAGATATATATATATGCACAAAAAATTACGGAAAGATAAAAAAAAATGGTGCCGAAAAGTGATCTGACCCACTTCTTAAACTTCATGCTCTAATATGAACAACTTATCATCGCCAGTGAGAAGGGGGAAAAAGACATCTACTAGAAAAGTAAGCATCTTCACTAGTCAATGATCATCGGGGGTGCGAAGAAATGGAAACATGAAAAGAAAAGGATATCAGCACCAAAGAGATCGAAGAAAACTTGACAAAGATGACACGGTTTTTGCCCAAAAGAATGAAATTGACAGAACAACATAAAATTCAAAAAACAAATCGTACTATAAAAAACAAAGGAACTAATCAGATCACCTGAAAATAACACATAATCCTAACTTAGAATGCAGACTTCAGCGTGGACGTTTGAAGGACCAAACTCCGTTACAAAATTAGCGGTTTCATTCATGATCAAAGATGAAGGGGTTTCTTGTTCAACTTTTCAGATTGCGGGGTTTTCATAGAAAAAACAATATGAATACAAAGAGGATTTCTTGTAATCTACCCATTTTAATTTCATCAATTTTCCATCAAATTATGAGAAGACCTCTATTTTAAACCCCACCAAAAAAAATCAAACTTTTCCCACCATTCTCAATCTATATCATCAGTAAAAACTTTGGTCGCAAAACATTGACATTATCAAGCAACAAACAAAGATCAATAGATGGATTCAAACCTCGCTTGCGTTCTGTCAACTTCTTCTCACAATCCTCAGTAACGTACCCATCCTTCTCCCGCTCGTCGCCCGCGACAGTCGTCCGCCGCCACCCCGCCGCCGGCCTCCTTCGGCCGACGGTAACCAGCAGAGATTCCCGCGCTACTCGCGCTCTTTTCTGCCGCCGCCATCGAACCTCACTCCGAAGATCTTCACTCCTCGGTCAGGACACGTGCGCGAGTTGTGGCCATTGTTGAAGCAGTGAGAGCACCGCCTCGCCATTTTCGACCTGGGATTTGATTAGAGAGTGTTTTTGGTGATTTATTTGAGGTATAAACAGTATTAGGGTTTTAGATTAAGGGATAAAAATGAGATTTTTTTTTTAAATGCGGTTTGAAAAGTTAGATTTTTATTAGTTGTTACAGTGTATGGATGGCTGAGCTTTTTTGCAATTCCAATACTAATCATCCCCAAAAGATAAGGATTTTATGTATGCATATATTGGATGTATATTTTATATCCGTATTTGTTTCCTCTTATATTATCTGATACATATCTTTATTTAATTTTGGGATATGATCCATAAGTTTTTCATATGTTTGTATTCATATTTATCTCCAAGAATAGTAAATAGAATATGGCAAAATTATACTTGAATCATGTTAAATTATATTATATCATATCATATCATATCATATCATACTTCATTTAAAAGTGAGAGTTCTTGAAAATCTTTCATTGATCAATATTACACCTAATCCTTTTTAATATTAACATTCTTATCCCAATTATAATTGGTTATCAACTAAAGCTATTAAATTAAAATTAAACTCCATTCAAAACCAAGTAATAAAAAATTGATCTAATTAGAATCGGTAAACAACTAAAGAGTAGAAATAAGCTTACAGCACATTAGCATTGTAAACATAATATGCATTGCACGTGTAAATATTAACCAATTGATTGATACCAAATTATGGATATAATTAATTATTAACAAAAAATAATTGATTAAAATATTTTTTGTAGTAGTCCCTTAAACCTTTCATATTTTGAAATTAGTCCGTCAAAGCATTAAAATTGTTATTAAGTAACTCAATTCTTAAGTTATTTGAAACTAGTCATTCAAATCAATGGTATAATTAGCAATTTGAGGAGTTAATTTCCCTCTAATTGCTTTTTTTACTCTTGATTGGAGAAGTTGACATCAAAATAACTTAAGAATTGCAAATATAGTAGCTATTTCAATAATTTGATGAATTATTTTTAAAATAATAAGAATTGAGCAACCTAATAGCTCAATGTGGTTATCTTTGCAAACTTATGGAGAATTTTTCTTAAATCGTGATGATTTTTTTATTCTACAGCATTAGGGTTTAAGATAGAAGATTTTTTCCCTTTTCTTTTTTACTTCATAAGAATTTTATGTCATCTGTTATTATTAAATTTGAGGCATTGAAGAAATTGGTTGCTATATGAGCGAATAATTTTTTCGAATAATGTGTAGCTTACATTGCTCATGGTTTATAAGCGAATTATCTTTTCCAATAATTTGTAGTTTACATTGCTTATGGTCATAATGACACATAAAATGAAAGCTGAAAGTACATAAATGTAAGTATTAAGAAAGTTCACAAGTAATATTACATCATCAAGTTGGGATTTAAAAGAAACACTTTTACAACCAAGTTATACTACAGAAATAAACCGAACAAATAACCACGCGCAATGCACGTGTATCTCTCCTAGTCCATATGTGTGTGTGTCTGTGTGTTGATGTTAAATAATCAAACAGACGGAATGAGGTCGATCAGAGGCCGCTAACTTCTCCGAATATCTAGTTTAGAGTTGAGTTATTCTTCCCTGCACATATAACAACTCGTAAGAGGGTGGGGTCTGCTTCCCCTGTTGTTCCTCCGACGATCAAGTCAGCTATGTACTTGAGTGGGAAAGTGGCAACTGTAGCAGTTCTTAAGTGCAATGGAATGGAGAAAAAATGCCGAGAAAATTGCTTACCCTCGTGTTGGGGATCGTTTCTCTTTTTATGTCAACAAAGGAGGGGTAATATGGTCTCTTTAGCCTTGTCCGAGCTTGGGTTGAGTCAGCTTCGACTTTATAGGTGTCGACCGTGGAGTGGGCATGGTCATTTCGGTATTTAATGAGATAGGACAAGCGGTGTGCGGAGCAGGCGTGGTCCGATGTGCCATAAATAGCATTGGGGATAGAGAAATGATGGCGTTTGTCACGTATTTAATGTGATGTCAATACACTGTCAGCGGGGAGCTCGAGGTTGCGGTCGTCTTTTGTCTCGCATGGATGGATGTCGAGAGCTACTGCCCTTCGAGTCGGCCCTTGTGAGATGTCGACCAAATAATTAGTCGAATAGGTTTGTGGTGAGTCGTCTTTGACGAGAGGATCGACAAGTACATCCTCTCGAGTCGACCCTGGCAAGATGTCGACCCGGCGAGTCAACTGAATTGAGACTCTGGTTATCCCAAGTGTCAAGTTGGTCAAATTAGGTGTAATGTGGGATACTTGTCTGTTGTTGATGAGAGATCTCAATTTGGCGATTGAATAATCCATCATTTCCGCGCAATAGCTTTGCATAATAAGAATCAGGCTTAAAGTTAGCTTTAAGCCTAAATTTTGTGCTGGAGAACTTAATGTGTATCTCACTATAATCTCCTAGTAGAAGAATTGAAGAAGTATTAATATTGATGGACTTAGAAAAAAGATGGGGCTAGTATCTTACAACTGTCTTATAGGTTACTAACTTCTGATGACAGACAATTGAACTGCCATGAGGGACTGGCTGTCCCACAATAAGTCGTTGAAAGGGGGAGACTCATGTTCCCTGTGAAGTTCGAAAGTAATGGAAACATACTGGTTGAGGTGTAGTTATCTATCATCAAAATTGCAACGAGTGGATCGTAAAAAATCTAGGAAATGATGTGGGAACATGAGTCTCCCAAAATCTAGGAAATGATGTGGGAACATGAGTCTCCCAAAATCTAGAGTTATGTGTTCAGGTTTAAGAACGTGTAGATCAAGTTCAACGGAGCGGATCGTAAAAAAAAATTAGGAAATGATGTGATTTTAGGCCGCGTCCTTAGGTGGGAGCCTAGGGTGTCACCTTAGATTCACTTTTCCCTATCACCTTAGATTCACTTTTCCCTATATATATATATATATATA